CGGTCAGGGGGGCTTGTTCGTTTCGTGGGCAGTTGGTTGGTGTCTTTTTCACAGGCTGGATGCGATTGTATTGCAGATCATCAACATCATGGATGCGTGGACATGGGGTGCCGAGTGCAAGAAAGGCGAAGCTCCCACCAGTACCTTTTTCTCTGGCGTGTCAACGCTGTCGAATGTGTGGCGAGCAACTGGGAACCACAAGAAGATAAACAAAGTTGCATCGGAGAACAATTTCACGCCGTTGGAATGCAAGTGTATCTTCAAATTACCTGGGAAGTGCTTGAAAGGTAGATGGGGGTCGCTGTACGGAGTGCTCGTGATAATTATCGGCGCTGTCGTGATCCTGAGGGTCGTCTTCGAATCTATCTGGGGGAAGCTCGGCGCCCTTCTTGAGGTTACGAAGGCTGGGCGGTGCGACGACGACGACGTCGCCCAGATCAGGGCCAAGGCTAGAAACAGCAGGAGGCGGGCGGTGTCATTGATCGGATGTGACCTCTTTGTGGCCATGATGATTTCTGCGAAGGTTGCCCTCGACCCCCTCATGCGGTTGTTTTTCTGGGGCCAGAAGCAAGTCAAACTTCGCAATCGTTTGAAAGATACAGCTCGGAAGCAAGGTGGTATTTATATTGGCGAGACTCCTCTATCGAAGCTTGCGTCTGGTGGTGTTGGAGCGGCATGCAGAGATGATATATTTAGACTTTTGCACGACAATGCGATCGAGGACGCAGAGATGTGGGGTCAGATCTGGGATTATGTTCCAGAGCATCTTGAGCCAGCGGCTGTGTTGCTCGTAGCTAGTCTTGGGTTGGGCATTGCATGTAGCTACGATTATAGGATGATGGGCTACTTCTCTTCTTGGCACCTGCAGATCTTGAAGATTGCCGAGGTGCCGCCCCAGGTCAGTCCAGGTAATACCTTAATACCTTACCCCCCATTCGTCCGAAACCTTGAGCGTAAGAACATGCTAGTGTGTATGTGTGCATGTATGTTCGAATGATTGTCTGTCTGTCTGTCTGTCTGTCCGTCTGTCTATCTGTCTGTCTGTCTGTCTGTCTGTCTGTCTCTGTCTGACAGTGCGTCCGTCTGTCGGTCTGTCTGTCCGTCCGTCTGTCTGTCTGTTAGATACACGCGCACCTCACCAGTCAACTTCCCCCATCCTCTGGGGCCCTGGGTGTCGGCGGAATGGCGTAAGCCTCCTGGATGTAATATGTTAGTGGAAATGTATGCGCGTAGGTACATTCGGTACACAAGTTACACGCATCCCCCGTCCCCCCTGGCGATCTTCGTGGCCTCGTCATTCGTAATCGCTGCCGGCTGGCTGGTCTAATCTCGGGGCAGTTTGGGGCCTCCCCTCTCCTCGCAATTGCCTTCGCCTAAGTCCTGGGTCCTAGGTCCTCCACCTCGAACCTCTACCTCCTCCCGCTTCTCCTCCTCCTCCTCCTCCTGCTCTTTCTCCTCCTCGATTTCCTCCTGTCCCCTTGCAGGTCTCTCTCGGTGCTGCTGGTCTGACGTCTTACTCTCCTCCTGCTCTCGCTCATCTTCCGTCCTCCCTCTGTCCTCGCTCACTCCGCCTTCTCGCCTCCCGAAGGTGGCCGACGATGCTCGCAGGGACCTTGCTCTGCGGCTACTGGCTGCGTCCGTGGACGACTTGAGCACGCCCGAGGGCGACTTCCCCTGGAAGCTCAGGGAGCGGTACAAGAGGGAGATCGAGGATGCTTCGCGGGACGGTCGCTGTGACGCATCACTTCACGGAGCAGTCTCGCTTTACCGAAGCAAGCTTGACTTCCAGACCCAAGATCTCGAGGGCAGGAACTCGAAGCTGCAGGGTATCTTCACCAGAGCTCCCGCCATGGGGCGATCGCTTGCGAACGCGAGGATGTCGATGTGCTTCGGTGAGAAGATCACAGCTCGAGAATGCGAACGAGAACACGACGCTGTTGTGGAGCACACAAAGACTTCAGAGCACGCGAACCAGTTCTGCCAGATTGTTGTAAGGAAGCCCATGGAGGCTGCGCCCCCGCCAATCCCAGGCCGCGCCGAGGACTTGGACGAGCCAGACGACCTCTTGTGCCGCGCCCTCGCAGTTGTTTGCCGCAAGGTTTGCGCGGACGAGAAATACAGCATCAACGCATCGATGGTATACAAGGTTGAGGCCGTGAACGGCGAGTTCTTCTACGCGGCGTTCGGGTGGACGTACTACGCGAGAGTCTTTGCGATCGAGTGCCAGATGACGGACCACGACGACGATGGCACGCTCGCATGGAAGTTACTGCATCCGATACAGCCACGGGCACTCGACGCCATGATCAAGCTGACTTTCACAGCCGAGGCCTTAACACCTCGGACTTTGACAATGACCGCATGCCCAGTGTCATTTTCGAGGCCTACGAAATTTCTGAGGACATGTCGGATTGGTCACCCTGGCATCAAAGAGCACGCGGTGCAACTCCCAAAGCGAAAGAAGAGGCCACGGCGTCCACGACCAGGAGCTGCAGACGGCGATCATGTTCTTGAAGACGCAGGTGGCGATGACGATGAGGACGGTGGCGGCGAAGAGGAAGAGGTCGACCTCGACGTGATGATGGAGGAGTTGCTGGAGGAGATCGAGGGCGTCGAAGAGGATGAGGAGCATGCTGCCGATCCAGTCGCACCTCGTGAGGATGAAGAGCGGGAGGAACACGTCGAAGACCAGCCGTTGGACCCAGATGGCATCGAGCCCGAACCTGACCCATACCTTCCCGACGACGAGCCCGAACCAGACCTCGATGATGCCGTCCACGCGGGGCCCGAGCCAGCTGGCCCTGCACCGCTGGTACCACTCGCAGTTCGCGAGAACAAGGATCGCGTCCAGACCGCCAAAGCCGAAATGGATATTCGCAATGCTCGTCCCATCACGGACGATTGCACGTCCCTTGTGAAGTTGATTACCGACGACGGAGTCGAGGAGGTGCTGTTCGTTGCGTGGACCGACTTCGCAAGGAGACTGGGCGGGAAGCAGTCGCTGGACAAGAATAACAAGCCCATCACGATCATCGGCTTCGCAGTGCCCGTGAAGGACTACAGCAACTCGCTAATCATCATTGGCGATGCACCCGTGGTCCGAGGTAAATTCAAAAAGCACGAGCGGCCTGACATCCCAGAGTGGTGTCTGACTATCAAGGAGCTCGAGGGCATTCGGATATGGCCTGGACCCGCTGAGGACGACGGGTCCTGCGTGCAGTGTGCCACCCAGACCGACGACCCCATGTACAAGTGCACCGAGTGCTTGTCCGCGTGGCACGTTGGCTGCGCCCGCGCCAAGGGCGCTCCAGTGGGCCCAGCCTTCACGTGCGTGGGATGCGCCCACTGAGACGGAAACATCATCTCGGTCTTTGTCCTCCCCTGGCAACTCTTCAATATCATTCTCTCTCAACCTCCCGATCCCCCCTCATCATTCACCACCTCCTCCCCTCCACCCGCGCCCTCGTCAATCACTTCTGTCGCCCCGTCTGCCACCCCGAGAGACCCGACAACCCAGGGCGACCAGGAATTGTTTTCAGATGTCCTGTGTGTGAAAAGCAACGGCGCGCACCCAGTGCTATTCCTGTGCGATTTCCTGTGGATTTGCCTCGGTAGGAACAACGGGAGCGATGTCAAATCGAGTGCACGAAACAATTTGAAATCACGAAATACGGCGTATTGAATTGCCCTGACCGCTTCAACTTTGCCGCACATACCTTGAAATAAAACGGAATGTAGGTAAGATATCTTATGGTTTCTATTGCATGTAGTTGTATCTTCCACGGGATGGAAGGGCGTCTTCCACGAGATGGAATGATGAGGACCTAGATCTTCCATGAGATGGAAGGGTGTCTTCCACGAGCTGGAAGGGCGATGCCCTTGCCTCTTCCATGAGCTGGAAGGGCGTCTTCCATGAGATGGCAGACCTCTGGATCAGGGCTTCCATGAGATGGAAGGGCGTCTTCCACAGGATGGAAGGTCGCCGACGGTCACCATTCCAGCAGATGGAAGACCAGACCCAGCGGCCTTCCACGAGATGGAAGGACGCCTCCCGCGTGCTTGGATTCACGATTCTCTGTCGGCTGGTGTTGTTGATATTCAGGACGCTCTCGCGTTGAGCCGCGGCCTGAAAACGTGCGCCCTACCCCCAAAACCCAAATTGAATTGGAACTGTTCTGCGGGGAAATGTGAAACTGAATGTCGGGACGACGAAAAATAGTTCCGTGCGCGCGTCGTGCGTGCTTTGGGCGTTGGCTTCCTCCTTCCCCTCCTCCGCCTCCTCCTCCTCATCCTTCTTCGCCCCCTCCCCCTCCTCCTCCTTCTCCTCCCCCCCCTCCTCCTCCTCCTCCTCCTCCCTCCTCCTCCTCTGGTGGCCGCTCGTCCGACCTATTCTACAAACTTTTAGGATAGGTCGCTGCACGGGTTCTCCTCCCTCCTCCTCCTCCTCCCCCTCCTCCTCCCCCTCCTCTGGCCGTCGTGCGTGAGGTTGTGGCGTTTCTGATCCCTCCCAACGTCCTTTTCACGGCCGCGTAGGGCGCCTGAAACGGCTCCCGCAAGCAAGCAACGTAGAGTAAGTAAAACGGCCGTGTCATATGCTCTACGGGCGGGCGGGCGGGTGGGTGGAAGTGCGCGCAAGCGGCCGCCGCTGGACTGGTCATAGACGCCGCTCGCCCGCCCGCTTCCTCCTCCTCCTCTTCCTCCTCGTTGGGCCTCCTGGCCTCTTGGGCCTCGTGGGCCGTGGGCCTCTTGGGTCATTGGCCAGTTCCCTATTGGGCCTTGGGCCTCTTGGGCCTCTTGGCCTTTTAGGCTTCTTGGTTGGCGGGCCTCTTGAGCCTCTTGGGCTTCTTGGCTACTTGGACCTCTTGGGCCTCTTGGCGCGTTGGACTTTTGGTTACGTAGCCAATATGACTGGCTCAAGCGGGTTGACGCGCACCACCTTTGCACTGCTTGTGCTGTTGTGCCGTGCGGGTGACAGGGGTGAAGTCCGACGGTTGCCGCCGATGGCGGAATCGATTGTGGTCGCAGAGGCAGCACAAGGCGGCCCTCCGAGCGAGGCACGACCCCACGATGCTTTGGTGCCAGCCGCAGCCTCGCTTCCTACCATGACCGAGCTGCAACAGAACAAGTACACTGCCTACCCATCGTTCGTAGCTCGAGTTGGGGAGAGGCCACTTCAAGAGCAGAAGCAGATCTGTGACAGCCTCTACATGATCGATCCTTCCTACAACCTTCAGCTCGTTGATGCGGACGGCGAATGGACGACTCTGCGGGGCCCGTGTAACGCTGGCCGTGGCGGTAAAGTTTCCGTGGAAGAGAAGCAGCAGTCGGTAGAGGAAGTCGGCATCATTGCAGTTCGGGCACCACCGAGGATGCGAGAGAAGGTAGTTGGAGGTAAGAAGAAACATGCGCTGCTCAGCTGGGCGACGTTGCTGGAAGGCGCCCGCCTTGCATACGAGAAGGACAATAAGAAGGAGAACAAGGCCCTTCAGCTATCCATTGCCAATGGCATCCAGAGGGCAGAGTTGTACGAGTCTGCCATGCCAGACGACGCCGCTAAGTTCATCATCAACTTCGACAACCAGGTCAACGCAGTCGTCACGGCCATAACGTTCGTAGAGTCTGCCATGCGTACTTCAGAGGTCGAGCCTGCGTGGAAGCAGAAGAAGGATAAGATGTGCTGGACTATTGCTGGCCTGACACAGCCAGTTCATGACTCGAAGAAGCTCAAATTCGCAAATGGAATGTTCCCGAAAATGCGGTGTAGCTACGCGCACTACGAGGAGACGAACTTCTGGTTCAAGGAGAGCAACAAGGAGGTGATCACTCGGGGCCCCTCAGCTGAGAAGCACGGCAGCACGACGGTTCGGAAGGAGTTCGAGGCCAAGGCATTGGAGTTGGTTGACTTCTCGAGCGAGCCCATGCAGGACCATTTGTTCGTGACCCGCGTGTGCGCAACAGTCTTCAGGAAGTTACGGGGCGGCCCATTCAACTACATGATAGTGGATATCATCATGCTGTTCCTCAAGATGCGGCCCAGCAAGAAGCTGGGGCAATGCAGGTGTGGGGGTCGTACGCGTGTTCTTTTTTTGTGATCCCTCTTCGGATTTTTTCAGCTGCCCAATCTATAAGCACAACGTGCTCCCCCCAGGTTACCTGGCCCAGGTTGCATGCCGTTCAGATGTAGGCACGCGTATAACCCCTTAGGTTGCTTCCGTGTGGTCTGGAGAACCCTGCTTGCGAGTTCTCGGAGGAGGCGGTCAATTCCTTGCTCCAGGACGTCGCAGAGTCCGAGAGCCTGAAGGGGACGAGGCTCGAGCATGCGATGGCGATCGTCGCTGAGGCTGAGGCTAAGGCTGAGGCGGCGGCGCAGGAATATCAGGAGGAAGGTGAAGCCGACTCTGCCGAAAAAGGAATTTCCAAGACAAAGCCCAAGCCGAAAGCCAAACAAAAAGGAAGGAAGAAGTGCCAGCCTGCCCCAGAGTCATTGGCAGAGATGGAGTCGAACAGCAAGCACGCGATCTCGCTCATCCAGGCCATCGCCGACTACATGAGGACAAAGATCGACAGGGCGCACGTCCAGGAAGACAAGATCGTGGCCTTCGTGAACATTGCCATGGCAGGCGTCATCAACGACAAGGTCATTCTCAAGCCGATGCCGAGCATGAATGAGAAGGTCATCAAGGGGTTGAGCAGCTTGAAGAAGGTGTTCAAGGCTGATGCGTACATGGAGGCTTCTTGTGGGGTAAGCAAAAAGCAACCGCCCTCAAACC